GTTGAACTGAGTAGATGGGAAAGGAGTATCGATACGATTCGTTCGTTTCCTCGAAACGAGGCAACGAGGAATCGAAAAAGGCCGGTCGATGGCCCCTGCGAGTCGTTCAACTCGTCATGATCGTCCATAATCGTCCTTGAATCTCGCGTTTCATGATCGGGATAGGTCAAAGATCGATATCTGGCTAATCATTGCTAGGCAAACATCTATCTTCCGTTACTTTGGAAGGCAAACACGAAATACCAGAGCTACCGTCTCGTTTAGCACTGAAGCTACACCGCAGCAAACAGGGTCACGTTAACTGAATGTTACACTTTCATGTTGAAATACTTGGAAAATTCCAAAGTAACTCCGTCCAGAATATTATATTAAACAGTAGTTCTCTCTGGTCGATCCACGCTATAATTAAAATCGTGCAAAGCGAGATCTTGTTGAACGAAAATTCATTCGACTTCATCCCTTTGTATTAAAATACATTTCCTTGTTAATTTAAACCGAAATTTCGTCGTATTACAACGCTGCTCTTTGCGTTCTCCGGAGTGCCAGAAGTATCCTGTTGTTCAAAGGCTATCGTAATTTTCGAATCAATACCGACGAACTGTAGTTTTGCACATTATTTATATTTTCATCAAATCCACAGTCTATTCGTGCCTCTATTTGCGAATCTTTCGATTCTGACGTCTTTCCTAGCAATTAGGCTGCGTCGGTTGTTCGACAGGATTTAATGTTTCTCGAAAGCCGCACGTGACGTCCGCGATGGAACGAGACTCGAGGAGGTACGGTGAATCGAGTTCTATTTGACGTTAAAATAATTCATCAACGGCGGAGAGACTATTTCCAGTCTATTTCGAGATGAAATAACACTTCGCGAAGAGGCACTTTAAGCGGAACACGCAGGCCACGAGATTTGCCCGGCCATCGGCTATATCGGTGCTCGTAAATTCGTTAAAATGCTTGGATGCATTTTGAACGGAAACGGAAGACGCTCCGACGTTCATCATTTCAGCACCCTTCGCTCTTTGAAAATCGATGCCCGTCCACTGCGGCACCAAAAGCCGGCTCGGGGATGATTCGAAGTTACGATATAAGTATTTTCGGAGGGTAAATGAAATTTCAATTTAAAATTAACATCTGCATAAAATCTGCAATTCGTTGTACGGATCAAATGTCTGAATCAATGATCAGTTCGTATGTCGCCGCCAGCGACGAGGTTTACCTGGCTCTTTAAACTTTTCCCTTTTAACTGAGCCTGCATCAACTTCTAATCTTTCCGGGAATCCGGTAACAGTTCTCAGTGGTTAAGAAACCGAGTTGAAGCGAAGTACCGAGCGCGGATCCAAGGGAGCGTAGGGAGCACAAAGTTCATCGTCTTGGTCGTTTCCGTATAGAAGAAAACGGCGCGGCATGGCGCGAGGAGGAAGAAAGACGAGGAGAGAAGGCCCGGTCGACGCCCCCAGGAGTCGTTCAACCCGGCGGTCGTCGACGATCGGCCTTGAATCACCCGTGCCCGTTTACGGGAGCAGCGTGCGAGCAGCAAGCAGACCAAGTCGAGGCTTCCGGTAGAGTCCTGGACACGGTGCTCGAGCATGCGCGAGGTAAACGATCGCGGATCTCCCGGTCAGAATAGAGAATCGAAATCCCCGGAAATCGTATCCGAGGTTGTTTACCCAAGACGAAGAACAGGGAGAAGGGAGGAAACATGGTCTCTCTTCTCGCGATATTTTCATCACCGTTCGAAGTCGCTTGGTTCGATTGATCGTACGATGGCGTAATCAGTAATGGGCACATATATTGATTCGCACAACAAACTAGTTTTGCGTTTTTCATACAGGTTGAAGCAGTAAGAAATGTCATTTAAGATTATACTAACGCCTGAGAGAAATGCATTTTAGTTTGTCGAGATATGAGAATTTTATGATCTCATGCACAGCACGTTTCGATAAAATGAATAAATAAGGAGTTATTGGATATATTTTTCATGGACTCATGTATATTTGCATAGAATTTGTAAACTAAAATTAGTTATCGAACAACACGCTTTATTTCTAAAATTCACGTATTTATCGAGTATACGTGATTCAAATGCTTATGGACATACGCAGTGCCCGCGATTGGGTGTAATGGGACACGTGCCTCGAGATAACGACGTGGAAATGAAAGGCAACGAATGATAATGGCTCTGGTCTCGCGTCCATATGGCGAAAAATTTAGAACAGAGGGAGGTTTCTACGAAATTGGATGGATATAATTTGACTACAAATTTTCACGCAAAATAAAATACTTTTAATGTCAATTTTAAAAATGAAATATAAATTCAGATCATTTTTGCCTTAATAAAAAAAAATGACGTGAATAATGCGTTTAATATTCTGCACATTTTTACACATTATAATTTATATTTTCTGCATCGAATCTCCAGTCTGAATATACCGAATCAAAGAAGTTATAATAATATTTTTAGGAAGTTCCAGGACTCATTGAATCAATTTATAGATAAACATCTTTTTACGATCAGAATGATTGCGATTAAATGGTTTGATTAACTTGCATTAACGATAATTACAGGAAATTATCACGGTTTACAGATCGGATTAATGATGAAGTCGAGGTATGTAGGAGGGGAATAGGAGGAAGAGCAACACTGCGTTGTGGGATCGAATAGATTTGAAACAATTAAATTGGGAATTTCACAGATTTATACAACGAATAACATTAAAAAAATATGATCGTTCTTATTTGAAATCAGTAGCAGAAGTTAATACGCCACATGCCACTCGAGCTATAACAATTAAATCTCCTGCTGTTGACATTCGTAAATTGGAAACCATCTAAAACCGAGTTTCAGAACTATAAGCAATTTCACGTGAATTCAACACTTCCACCTATGACCACAAATGTTATAACTCGAATTTCGTGTTATTCGATCAAGAGTTAGAATTTGTAATGACCTATTATTGAATCAGAACGGAGAGACTTTAATAAAAGATCCTAATATCTGCTTTTCGAATTATGAAGATGCGTAACCGTACCATACCGCTGTATCATATCAGTCAGCGGTGTTCGTAGCACACGTGCAACTATGATACGCAACGGTGATACGATAAGAAGACACAATACAAGTGCACATTCTTTGTAGACTTTTTAACTTCTTGCGTGAGATCTTGCGACGAGTTAAACGTCGCGGTATTCAAAGGATCAATTGAAACCATTGCAGGGACGCTTTCTACGCTTTTATCGAGCCCATTGATCGGCGCGTGTTACGACAGATTCGCGATTGCTGCACCAGGCTCCCAGCCGCTGACGGAGCGAAATCGGCGTGTGCATTACGAAAGTTAACTGGAGCACGAATCGACTTTCGATTCGGTGGTAAGAGAGTCCGGCGGCGACGGCGACGTCGCGTCGTCTCTGGAAACCGAGAGTCGCACCATCCGAAGTTTCATCTCGAATCCACCAGCTACCATCAACGGCGGCGGAGAACGAAGGAGAGAGATCGCGATCATCTCCGCGGATTCGACCTCGCAACTTCTACATTACGTAAATAACGCCCCGGTGAATGAGTTTCGAAGGAGTTTCGCTTCTACTCTTTTTTGCGTGAAAGGCTCCCGTCCCAGATGCTAATTCGGATGTATGATCAAGAATACCGAGTTCGTGGCGGATTCAAACTCGCTTGAAACTTCGCGTGTTTTATTCAGATCGCCGCCACTCCGGAATTATGGAATCGAATTACGTGGCGACAGAGATCGGGTTTGGCGAAGAATGCTCGACTACGAAAATACTATTTCCAACGGGAATAATTTTCTCGTTTCGAAACAAGTACAAAGTGACGTTAACCCCTGAACAATCTGCGATGTCTACCGTATTTAAGATTTATGGTCTTCGCACGGAATCACGTTCTATCATAACAAGACCATAAAATCTCGTCCTAACAGATTTCCACTGAGAATTCCTTCGATACTTCATCAAACACGACCTTAGCATGAAAGGGACCTACTTCGACCACATAGACTCCATCAATTGAGATTCTCATCACGGGAGAACCCTAAACCCACCCAAGAAGCCACCATCTCATCTAATAACTCTCCTCTCAAAGGATAGACCCACCACCCAAGCTTTGATCCTTCGCTTCTATATCGCTGTTTACTTATTTTCCTTTCTTGAAACATTCTAAGTTCTATTCAGTCTTCAATTCTTTTTATACATCGTTTAAGAATTGAATATGCCAAAATAATAATCAACTAAAAAGATATACGAACTATACCTGAGTAGAATTTCGTTTTCGATTAAAACCGAAGTAGATGGAGAGGTATTGTGAAGAAATGGAAGATTTTCGCAGGAAAAATCGGCAAACGTTTCCACGGGCAAGTCGGAGATCAACGGGGAGAGAGATATCTAGTTGCAGGTCATTCACATCGCGAGGGGACGAGCATTAAAAATAGAACGAGAACGCCAGGAGCTCTCACGCACAACCATGAGGATGATATCGACGAAGCCGACGAAATTGACGAAGAAGAGGCGGAGTACGACCCGCTGCTACGTCCAACACGTGTGTCTCCAGGGACAATGTTTGGGAAAACTTCGTGACGCCAATCGTAATTCCACGGAGGCTCTTCTTAAAGATTGACGTCAAATAGTACGAGAAGAATATTTATTGATACCGTGACGTGCACACAAACAGGGAAAGAGCCTGTTTCTAAAATACATATAATAGCCTATAAGCGATCTGACATAATCACGTTATCCAGACTTATTTTCCTTACGCGAAACGCTATTAATTAATGTACCAGAAACGAGGCTGACTGCCATCGTTAACAGGCAATTAAACAGCAATTAAGTTGACTTCACTGTGCCACATAGAGAATCATCACGACGTTAACGAACGTTAGATTCTACTCCTAACTATGCTTAAGATTTGTTTCAAGTCGATTGGAAATGAGACGAGATACGTTTTTACCAAATTTGAGAACGATTGTAGAGCGCGAGAGATATAAGATTGCACGTACCTGTGTGTAACACCAATTTTCGGCCACGGGGGTGTTCACTTCCGGTGGTGGAGGGCTTGGTACACGGCTTACTGCCATACTACTGCTGCTGTGCAAGTTTGAGCTGACCCGCGACGTTTGAGGCGCACAGTCGCTCACCGCAATACTGTAACACATACAAATAGTTCGCACGTTACTTGGAGTTTCCGCAGTTTCGCTAAAATTGGGGTTACGTGCTGATCGCAGCGAAACAGCCAGTATACCAACACTCAGTCCAAGTTTTCAAGTGTTATGTAATCGTTGCAGTTCAGTCGTTAATTTGTACGTTCCAACGTGAAATTCTCTAATTATTCTTATATTTTAATCATCAATAAATGTTTTGAAAATTCTCAATGGCTTCGTACGAAAAGGAATTGATCGGACATTAGCAGAATCGATCAAACCAGAAAAATCTTTTCGGATCATCAAACACAAAGACCAGTTGATCGAAGCACACGCAGGTTGAATGGTTCCATTACCCGCGCAGACACACACGATTCGGTGGAAAAAGGGTAGCTAAAGAGAAAGAGAACAGGGACGGGGTGGAGACGAAGAAAGGAAGCGTGGAAGAAGAAGGGTATGCAGGGCACGCGATGGTACTCACGTGAGCCAAGTACGGAACTACTCGAGCATCATCGGGTCGAGTACATTAGCCCCGCAGGTTCATCGGACCTGCTGCTACTACTCCTCTAGCCGAGGCACAAGTCGCTCCGCGACTTCTCGTCTTAACCTTTTAACCTTTATCGTGCCAATCGATACGTTAATGCAATAAGCGCAGATTGGTCTGGTTCGGTTAATTCTTTCGAGCTTACAATTAAGTGTCATTTAGATTGCTCATTCTTCAATCTCATATAAATTCGGAATATCTTTCCTTATTAAAGTCAGAATAAAATCGACCAACATTTTCGATAAAGATAATTCATGATAAGGTTTATATAATTTATGTACACTGATGCAATATACTTGTCCATTTACAATGATACGCAACTGTGACACAAGAGCTTGATACAAATGGATACGCACTAGAGAATACTGTTACCATTCGAATATGGTAATTGACGATTCAATTATAGTACAGCTTCGCAGCCTCGCTTCTCTCGTCTTCTGATTTCTACGGCAGACTCGATCTCGATTAATTCTTCAGCTTCGAAAGCCCATTACCGTAATTGTTAATTACCGTCGGTGTCCGTGAAGGGCCATTACAGCCGACATAAATTACCTTACTTTTACCCTTCCATTAGTAGATACTTTCTTCCGAGACTATCATTATCAACGCGGCACGTAGTTGTACTGGTTATCGTCTGTTTAGCTTTTTATCATGTAATTTGTAATCACTTTTACGTGTTACCGCGGACGTTGCGTAATAAAACTAATTCGATGGTGATACAAAGCAGTTTTATCTCTCTTTAAAGATTAGCGCGTACTCGAGCCGCGGTTAGAAAGACACGGAGGTAAAATTAGCTCTTTCTCTTTCTGTTTACGACACTTTTTATCGAACCGTGTCTACATTTATTTTTACTCTGTCACAACTTTTAATTTTTTTCGTGACAATAAATTCGATGTGCGATAGAAACTGCGTGCGGATCCTCGGTAATAATCAATATTTTGCAATTAATTCGATTGTCGATGTCGATGTTCGAATAGCTAACCAGATATTGTTGTAAATATATCCGCGATTAAAGCGACGATATTGCTTGTAAATGTAATCCGATTTTCGTGCCCTTTGAAACTCACAGAGCTTCGAACAAAAGTGCTCACGAACGGTCGTGATACCGGATGGATTAATATCAGTGTTTATCCCCTTGGAAAGGACAACGTTTCCGGCTGCGAATGCCGTTTGCGTTACATTAACAGGCGGTCAGAAGTATGGAGGTGAACTACATGCGATTAAGTTGTTGTTCAAAGCACACAGGCTGTAGGATCGTAACGGAAAAAGTATTTCAACCGCGATACTAAAAAATGAAACGAGGTGACCGGTCTGCGGGTTTTATAAATTCTCAGAAAAATTCGATATGCACATGTGTGAAATATATAATTTTGTATCGTTTCGTTTACGTAAAACGAGGCAGTCGTCACATCAGTTTTAATGCTCGGACCTTCGCATTCGGAAGATATAAGATATGCATTGAATGGTTGGCAATCGAAAAACAGACTCATTTTCCCCCTTTCACTTTCCAATACCTCTTTGTGTGCAGCAAGAGTAGACAGGAGCAGATAAGAGAAATCTCGCGATTACATGTATACCCGTGCTTTTACTTTGCGTTAAACACGCCGATCGGATGAAAGAAAAACGAAAGATTTTTTTCACCGTGAATGACAATTCGAGAAAGTACGCACGCAGATTTCCCTTAGACTGGGGATCGGTTACAGTCACGAGATACTCTGCTATTTTCTATCAATCGTGGCGGAACGATAATTGACTGATCCATTATGAGAATAAACTTTAATATTTTTCTGCGGAACAATGAATTTCCCTTCGTGACAATACATTTTAATATGTAAAATCCAATAAAAATACAACAAACATGAAAAAGAGAAGAATTTAAACTCGTAGAGAGACGACAAAGATAAAAGAGGAAGAAACGTCGTCTAAAACCAACTTTTAAGGAAAGAGTGGAACGTTTTGCGCAGTGGTAGACAGAAGCAGAAAGGGTGAAAACCAGGGGAATGAAAAATTCGCGAGGTCGCCTGAATCTCGTTTAAAAAGCCGGAGCGCGCCGTGATACGTCCATTCGTTAAACCTCTTATCCGTCGACATGTTAACTGGCGCCTTTTATGCGACGCCCCACCTTCCCCCTTGCCCAGCTCTCTCGCCACGATCTAACTTTCACTTCCACGTTTTACTCCCACGTTGCTTTTGCGCTAGATACAAGAGAGTCGGAGGCGTCGAGCGAAAGGGGAAGAGGCCGCTATTCGGGACGCAGTCTTTCGAGCGACATTTTGCCGAGAGAAAGATAAACGGTTTTATCGTGATTCCACGTTCGAAGCCGGAAGGAGAACGCAGGAAGGAAATATGCTTCGGAGAACGTGAGCGAGCGCAAACCCGATTTTCTGGGAAACGAGAAAACGGCGAATGGCTTTTCATACTACCGTGAAAAGTACCCAATACGATGTTCTTAAGTGATCGATGTACGTAAAGAACAGCTGTAATTCAATTTGGCCTTAATCTGTCCCTCGTTTTGTTAGCTGAATTCGTTTCTTGCGTGTCAAATTAATGTAGCGATAAAACATGTATTACATAACTAAGCTCAGAACTCGTTTACTCAAAATACAAGAATGAAATTTTTATACATTCATGTATAAAAAATATACTCCTTGTTGCAGTTATTATTATTAAACCTTATGCATTTATTTAAGGATGTATTGGCTATAGAGTCAATCCCAAAAGTTTATGCACTTTAGAAACGCATTT